AGGTTGGAGGGTAGAGGGAAAAGAACTATAAACAAATCTTGAACTCTTTTTAGTGCTTTTAATTTCAATTATGGACAAAGTAATTCTGAAATATGGACAAAGCAATTCTGAAACTATTTTAGATGTATCGTAGGATTGAGTAAATGCATAAATGGGTTGATGTTGAAGGGAGTCAGGGTTTCCACTATGGAAGAATGGATGTAGAAATACAGTGTGGGGGAAGCCAAGAAAGAACCTCAAAACATGGATTGAAATTGGAAGCATCAGTATTAACTGATGATTTCTAAATTATGATGTACACATGCAAACACACAAGTTTATGTGTGTGGTGGGATGCATATTAATGCATATTAATGCATATTAATGGGATGTCTATATAGTAATGCCTCAGTTCACAAATGCTTCTTTTCGCAAATAGAACAATTCAGTTTGTGGGCAGAAAGCATTTGGGAAAATTTTGCTTTCGTTCATGAAACCTGCACTAGGTGAGGAACATGACCATGGCCATTTTCCCCAGAATCATAGACAAAATCAAGTTTATAAACTGAGGTGGGTGTGTAGGTGTGTGTAGACACCAAGACCAAGAACCAAAGATACCCTGCGAGTAATGATCACACCTAAGCCCCAAATGTTGGTCTCTTATCCCATTCTCTTGTAAAAGGAGTTGAGGCTCTTTGGAGAAACAACTGACATTGCCATGAGGTAGTATGAGTAAAAGATGAACATGGAACATCTTATTATGGTAGAAAGTAAGAAAGAAAGTACTTTCTTAAAGGTGATGATGTCTCAAGTACCAAGGTACTAGCTGGGGAAAGGCACTTGTTGGCCAAATCCAGTATAATTTGAGCACCAAAATACTTAAGGGCAGAGATTAATTATAGGCCACTGAAAAAACTAAAAGCTCATGAGTCCATGCTGATAATAGATAAATGAATGAGAAGAACAGAGGTCTTGTTATCCTAAGGTATTGATGGTTAAAGGTGAATGCTGAGAGTGTATTGAGTCAAAAGATTATTTTCCTGTCATCACAGTAAAGATTGCCTGAAGTGAGAGTCAACCACAATTGCCATGATGATGGGAAAGTTCTGATGAAGAGATAATATTTGGATGAACAAGGAACTACCCACAGAGTGCTTATCGCTCTGAGGGAGAGAAAGGTGTGCTTGGATACTGGAGAAACTGCACAAGAACTTGTAAGGAGAATCTAAGTCAGCCTCACCATGCTGGTGGATGATATGGGATGTGCCATGCTATCCCCTGAGAAGAAAGCAGTCACATTTATACAGGATTCCTGGTCAAGAATATACATCCTGAATTTAAAACCATAAGGAAACATCAAAAAGCCCAAATGAGGAACATTCTACTGACAAAAAAGTAGAAGGACTCTATGCTTAAAAAATTGGTAAAGAAAAGTGGTGGAAATTTTTCAGATCATAGGGTTAAATGCAATACCAGCCCCTGTACTGGGTCCTGTACTAGAAGAGAAAACGTCATAAAGGGCACTGTGTCGGTCAGCTTTTCATTACTGTCACAAATATCCATGATAAATCAACTTATAAGGAAGAAGTATGTATTCAGCCTGTAGATTCAGAACTCTCAGTCTTCTTTGTCACTTTCCTCCTTGCTGAGCACTTTCCTCTCCACACTTTCCTGGCAGCCTCCTCCGTTAGCCACCCACCCAAGGCACCCCACTGCACACCGTGTGCCAGGAAGCAGAGCAGCGAGCACATGCACCAGCAGCAGGCTCCCAGCACGGCCTCATCTTCCTGTGCTGACTGCTTTCATCACTGAGCTCTCTGTGGTTGTGGTCAGCATGCTGTCCAATACCTGACACCTACAACTTAAAGAGGAGAGGTGTATTTTGGCTCATGATTTAGTCCATAGCTGGCTGGCTCTGGGGCAGGGTGACATGGCACAGGAGCCTGGCAGAGGAAGCAGAGGAGACCTGCTCACCTCAGGGCAGACACGAAGCAGAGAAAAGGGAGGAGCTGGGAAAGGAGATAAACCTTTCTGGGTCACACCCACAATGACCCCCTTTTCTGACCAGGCCCCCCTTCCTCATAGCAAGTCAGCTGTAAACCCTCATAGTCCAGCCACCTTCCAAAAGCCCTGTCTATGAGCGCATGGGGCTCTGGTGGTGGTGTTGGAGGGTGTGTAACTAAAACCATAACATAGTCCCTGGCTACATGTCCCATGATGTACAGTTCAGGTGAGAAAAACAAGGCTCAGTGATATTTGAACATTTGTCCAGTATCTCATAAGTGGAGGAAATGTGATTTTTAACCAAAAATTATACTTTTTCCACTATATTATGCCCTCCCAAAGAAAAGTTATGAATTTTGAATAAAAGCACCCCATAGTTCTTTTTTTTTTCTTGTTCTTCCCACCCCTCTCTTGCTGAGAAATATAATAAAGGTTAGGGATGACATAGTATTTCCATGGTCAAGATGATGAAATTAAAACTATGATTTACTCATGATTTTAGTTGGATCTCTTGGATTTACAAACCATGATCCACCTAACTGCATATAGTCACCAGGTGGAATTTCCCAACTTTCCCCAGAGCATCATAATTATGCAACAGAAATCCTTGAAGCCAGAAGCCTGGATTCCATCCTGACTCTGCAGTTTACTGGCTGTAAAATGGTACCTCATTGGGTTGTTTTAGGGATCAAATGATATGGATAAGCGCACACAGATGTACGTGCTTTACTCTTTCATTTGGGCTTCTGGGCTCCCTGGCCCTTCCCTGCCAAAGCAATCCCTTAGCTCAAAATAAACTTTAAAAACCAAGTCTACAAAAACAAAGACCTCAGTGAGACCCAGCGATTCCCACTGTTACCTCCCTCACACAATGGCCAAAGTGTTCCTTTCTCATTAGGAGCCAATGGGTTGCTATTGGGTGAAGAATTCTAACATAGCAGTAAGAATGGGCATAGAGGCTTGGCAGTAGTTTTCTCTAAAGCTCATAGTTCCAAACCTGCTATGGTTAGTCTGCTTCAAGGACACATTCCCCACTATTGGGATGCACCCCATCACTAACCACGGAGTGACCTTAACATCCCCCTCTCCGCTTTAACCAGATTCATCAAAATGAGGGATGAGTGCTGGAATTCCTAATCTGATGCTCAGCAGATCTTGTTCTAGCTGAATAAGCGGGTCTGCTTGTTAAAAAATGCAGACTGCCCAGGTACCATCCTCAGTTCCTAAATTACAACCCGTGGGCAATGGATCTGGGAATATCTGCAGTTTAACACCTTCTCCCTAGGGAATTCTGATGCACAGAGATTTGAGACCCATTGATCCAAATTCTCTTTCCAGTAAGAAATACCCTGAGATGTAGACCAACGCTTTTAAAACTTGAACCCCTTGGAAACTTATTAAAATGCAGCTTCTGGTTGAGTCAACCTGAGGTGCGGTTTGATAACCTGCTTTGGCGCCCAGCTCCTGTTGGTGCTGCTGGTTCTATACTTTTCTGGAACAAAAATAACCCAAGTGATGGCTTAGGTGTTGGAGGACACACACATGAGTTGCCACCCAAAGATGTGCTGGCTGGTTGGAGGCCCTGTGGATTGATCATCTCTGGGTGACTTAGGATCTTCTGACAGAGAACAGCCAACTTTGGAGAAAGCTGTATGATCTGCAGTGACTGCGTTTCCAGAGCCTTGAGCTCTGAATCAGCAAAGCAGAAGACAGTAAAATGCCCACCTCATAGGGTTGCTATAAGGGCTAAATGGGACCTCGTACATAAAACTCACAGCTCAGGGCAATAGTATCAGAACCCATGGCTTCCTGGGGCCTGGTCCCATGTCTTTACATAGATCCCAGTGGGATGGAGATAGAACCTGCTGCCCCATCCCACAGACCCCACCACCTGGAGAGCAGCAGACTCTCCACAGGAGAAAACCTTTGGCTCACCCAGAGAACAATTTATCACAGAGCCACTCTCCCAGATTTGCAAGGCTGGCAGCAGCCCTGCCAGAGACAGATGGCAGAGCTGGAGTCCAGTCACTTGTCAGTGAGGCTGAGTGGACACATTTATAAGGCTTCCCACACTTTCCTGGCAGCCTCCTCCGTTAGCCACCCACCCAAGGCAGCCCACTGCACACCATGTGCCAGGAAGCAGAGCAGCGAGCACGTGTGCCAGCAGCAGGCTCCCAGCACGGCCTCATCTTCCTGTGCTGTCTGCTTTCATCACTGAGCTCTCTGTGGTTGTGGTCAGCATGCTGTCTGCCTTCTCTGCCAAGTCCTTCACATTTTTTTGACAGGCGTTACTGTCCTTCCTTCCCCCCAAAAAACTCATTAAACAAGTAGTCAGTTGCAGTACTATAGACTTAAGGAGAAGATTTTAAACTCTTTTTATACCCGTGTATAGAGGCTATCAAATATTTTAGCAATTGCAATGTGCCTAGCAGCCTTCCAGGGCTTGATGGAACTTATAACCAAACCATTTGTTAATTCACTTGGTCAAGCTAAAGGAAGATGGTTTTATTTTTTCTTCAACTACGTTTGTTTATTGAAGTAATCTAGGAGAGCTTTAAAAATACTAATGCCTACATCCTGATCTTAAAGATTCTGATCTGGGATGAAGTTTGGCCACTTGGAAAACCCTAAAAGCAGCCAAGACTGAAGAAAATTGTCTTAAGAATTTTCTCATATTGCTTCAATGTTTTAATTGCCTTATGTTTTTGAGATCACCCTTTACGGAACCTTTAAACAAAGGTAAACAACCCATTTTAGTAGGAAAAAGAATCCCTTAAAACGCTCTGGGACAGACAGCTGGTAAAGGCAGAGATAATCATGAACTCATGGGTCTGTCCCGGCTAGCCATTCATTGCACCATAACACATCTCTATTCTAGATTGTGTAGAAATTAGAAAATTCTCTGACTTCTTTATTGTCAGATTTTAGTAACACTAACAAAGAAAGAAGGGTAGTGGTATGAGCAGGAGGGGCCCACCTGATTTGGTGGTCAATACATGAATTTGACATACCGTGTGGAGGAGCAAAGGTATTCCGGCCGAAGTCTGTGCACCAAATGCCCGTCTCTAAGAGCCATACTTCATCTCAGGAAACAGGTTGCAGCATTCTTCCTTCCATGGAGAAGGACAGTCTGAGTTCTCTAGAAGGTTGCACAGACCCCTGTCTGAAGTCTGAATCATCTGTTTGTTCCCATAACTCTAGGGATGAGATAGAAGGGTGGCTTCTCTCCCAACATTGATCGGGAGCCTCTATGCCTGAGACATGTTTCACTTGACAGAAAGGAATATAAGTATTTTAAAAAACTAATTTACTATTTTATTCACAACTTCCATGATGTCTTCTTAACCTTGCCAGGGTAGAATGGAGCGGGATTAGCTGATAAAACCTGATTCCCAACATCTCTCTGAGACTTTTCAGGGAATGTAAAGTTCAGGTTTGATAGTCCTGACTCAGACTGATGTCACAGCCATTGGCAAGGTAATGATCACAAGTACCTCTTGATCTATGAGTCAATGTGGGAGAGAACCTAAATTAGCATAGTGGTGGTCCTGGGCTTGGTCCAGGTTGCCTTCCATGGCCAAATGAAGACACCATGCAATCAAACCTCTGGTCATTCCAAAAATAGTTATTTGAATGAATTCCAAAACATGATTTGCAACCATTCTTTTATTCTAACATTTGTGTATATGTGGATTCAGCCATAAACAAAAAGTGCACATTAAACTTATAAATGGGATTGTGAAGAGTTACTAAAATCACTCTAAAAGCTAGGGGTTTTGAACCTGAAAAAAATGATCCAATAATATTATCCTTAATGCTGCTGAAGTCTATTTCTCTTCAGTTTCTCAGTCCCAGAAACACTGGAGGCAGGTCTCTAAGTGCAGAATTTAGAAATCTTTGAGACGATAACCCTTTGGTGGGATGGTTAGATAATTTGTGGGATCCAGTACAACAGAGGCCATCTCAGAACTCTTTGTTGAAAATCACGAAGAATATCACCATGGTGAGGACATAGCACTAACCCAGGCTCATGGCTCTGCATTAGGCAGTTTGTATATCCATGAAGACAGATAGATCCATTCTCGGGGCAGGGAGACCCCCACAATCCTACTCTGTCTACCTATTTGATGAGTCATTTTGAGCAGCTGACACTTTTCTATGTGTTTCAAACTGCTGTGTAGGCAAATGGTCTCAGCTGTCCATGGGACATCTGCAGGAACATCCACAGAAGGAAAATCCATGGAGATGGAATACAGTGTGTCCTTAAGGAGGAACAGTGGAAAGGCAGGTTTGGTACAGCTGTTAAGGGTTCAGAGAAAGGACAGTTGGCTACCAAAGACTATGTGCCAACATTGCCCAGACAGAGCCTTGGGTGTTCTCATACCTAAATGAGATTATGTGGCAGAAAATCTTGATATATTTTAAATATACATAATATATCACATACACATACATATAAGATATATGATGTATGGCTCTATGCTCATCACAGGAGGGATAGCAGCTGGCATAAAAGAAGAAAACATCCTAATAGTCATCTTGGATGCAGGTTCCCAAGCCTAAATTCCAGAGAAAGGAGTGGATCGAGCACAAAATTGGTCTTGGCCAGGACTATGAAAGCAGGATTTCCCCATCTAGAAGAACAAGGCTCCTGGTGTTGGACAGGAGGGAGAATTAGAAAGCCGTTGACCCTCTGAGAGGGAACACAGGCCCATGACTCAGGTGGAACTGTCCGGGAGATGGCCCTGGCCCTCCTGCAAGTGGCTGCATAGGAAATGAGGCTGGCACCTGACAGGCAGCCAAGAGGGTCCTGGGTGCCGAGCAGTGGGCAGCAGGCTGGGAAGGGCCAGAGGGCATCTCACTGGCAACATAGGTGGCTGGAGGGAGGGGTCAAGAACCATGGTAGGGATAGCTGTGCGTACGGCTCCAGACATCACAGGGAGGAGAAGAGTAAAGGAGGGAAGTCAGGTTTCCCAATAGGCTGGTGAGACAAAGATCAGGAGCATAGATTTCAATCAGAGTCATTTTTTACACATTTATGTGTGTGCAGTGAGATTTACTCGAACTTTTCTGTAATGACAGTACGCCCCAGGTTCATCCATTCCTGCTACTTTCACTCTGCTGTCACTGAGCAACTTTTTAAAGAAGACTTAATTTTTTTAGCACAGTTGTAGTTTCACAGTATAATTAAGAGGAGCGTATACAGATTTCTCACATACCTTGTGCCCCCACCTGGTCCTTTCTCCTCATCCCCCACCAGTACGGTGCATTTGTTAAAATGAATGAGACTGCTTGACATGCTCTCCAAGGTCCACACTTCACAAGGGCTCACTCGGTGCTGGACATTCTGTGGTGGACAAATGCAGGGTCAGGTGTCCACTACTAGAGCACCATACAAAATATTTTTACTGCTCTAAAATTCTTCTGGTTCTGTCTGCCCACCCTTCCCTCTCCCCTGCTCCCTGCAACACTGATCCTTTTACTGTCTTCATGGTTTTGCCTTTTACAGAAGAAAGAAGAGAGAAAGGAGGGGCAGGAGGAGAGAGAGGAGGAGGAACAGGAGAAGGTCAAGAAAGAAGAAGAGCTACATTAGACAATGCAATAAGTAAAAAGTGCAGGCTCTGGAATCAGTGCCTAGGTTTGCCAACTCCGGGCTTTGCCCTTCTACTACCTATGATTTTTAGCAAGTTCAAAGATATCTCACAGTATCAGTAAGAGGAATAAAGGTGTTAGCACAGTAAAACATTTTGATTGGCTTGGTATACATCATTATATAAATGTTAGCCACCATTTCCAGTTTTATTGTCCTTAAATGTGCTCTTCAGCCTAAGTTTGACTGTGTGGATGTCCTCTTGTATTACACATGATCATTTATTCTTTCTTTTAATTTAACATGTATGTTTCTATGCATGTTTTAACCATTATTTATAACCATCAGTATAATTCGGTTCACAAAATATGTGAGTACTTAACTCAAAATTGACTATGGTATCTGACACTGTCATCAAAATGAGAAGTTAGAAGAGTTGGCAAAGGTGACACCCAGGTGAAGCATCAAAAAAGAAACATAAATGGCCAAAGAAGGCTTATCCTAACAAGAAATACAGAAATTCAAAGTAAAGAAATAGTTATACTTTTGAATAGCCGATTAGCAACACCACAAAGTTTGATCTACATTAGACTGGGGTGTGGGACAATGGATGATGCAGCACCTAATCTAGTTTATCATTTAATGATTAATACTTACAATGTATAGACTCTCTCTCTCCCAACCATTTTACTCTTCCTTGTCTGTCTTCAAGAAACAGCTGTTTATGTTGTTCGGGAGTCACAGGCAAGGATGTTCACTGAAACAATACTTGTAATTATGAAAATGGAAAACTACATACTCATCAATATTTGGAATAATTAAATAAACCAATATGTTCATTGTGAAGTTAAAAGCAATGAGTTACATCTATCAGTACTGATGTAAAAACTTTGCTAGGCATGTTGATAACTTAAAAAAAAAACTATTTGCAAAACACAACAGCAAGGTGGTATTTTTGTAACATACACATCAAAATAGGTAGCTATCTAGATAAGTGTGTATAAATGTGTGCGTGTGTATGTGTATGTGTGTATGTAGATGACTGGGTGTTTATAAATGTATCAAAAATGCCTGGAAGGGTTCCTATCCAACTGTGGCTGCCCTTAGACAGGAAACTAAGATTTGTCAAGGAGGATTTCAGCTTTCTTTGCATTTAAAAATTTTTAAGGCTAAAATTCTAAAAATTAAAAGATGGATGCGATAAAGTCTCTGACTCTCAGAGCCAGTGCTCCGCTGAGCAGATGGTAGGGACCGACTTAGCCACTGACTTGTGTTTGGCATCCAGTTTGTCTCCACTGTCTCATAGCACGGAGCTTCATACACTGCTGCTGCTTTTTCTTCTGTTGATCTATTTCTCTAGGATAAATTCCAAGTGTGGGATTACTGGATAAAATGGTACAAACATCTTTCTGGCTTGAGATATATTTTTCCACATTGCTTTCCAAAAATGTTATGCTGCTTCTTCGTCATTACTGAAGAAGAAAAAAAAATGAGCTCTCCTACTACCTGGTACCAACCTACTTTTCTAACAACATCTCCTAATTCTCAACCTGTTTTCAATCTGTTTGGGAACTCGGGTCTCCTGGAGACCTTCAGCTCCTAACCTTTCTCCTGTGCCTGGTGTACATTTCCCACATAAGACAGGTGTGACTCACATTCCCACTTTGCAGACAGAGACATTGCCCAGGATGCCATAATAGCTAATGAGATGCAGAGCCCGTAATTTTAATCATGTCTGTTCTCTCTCCACATCTGTATGTTTCCCTTCCAGTTTGGTCTGAATGCAAATACCTCTTACTTACTTAGCATCTACTGCCATTGTTCCCTTACTGAACCCGGTATCTTGGTGCCAACCCATAGCTGTGCCCTCCCTGCCTTTCTTCCTGTGCCCCTCTCCTCAGCCTGGTTCTCTGGCTGCCAACTTGCTTCAAATACTCAGATTTCATTCCTGTTTAACCTAAGGTACAGAGCATTGGTTCTCAACCCTGGCTATACACTAGCATCACTAGGGGCTGAAAACAGAGGAACCAAACAACAGTCTGGACTCCAGCCTCAGAAATCTGGACTCAGTTGGTCTGGAGTACAGTCAGCTCTTGGTTCTTGGATTTTGTGCAGTTTCCTGGGAACTTTTGAGGAGAGCCTCTATCCTAGGTGCTAGTCTTGGTTCCTTCCTGGGTTTACAGAATTTAAAAGGATATAGAAAGCATATTGCAAAAATCTGTTTTGAAATAAATTTGACAACTTCTAAGAAGTAACTTAGAAGACAAATTAATGAAACTAACT